CGGGAGCTGCTGCCGCTCTGAGCCCATTAACTCGGCTCCCTTTGATTCTCACCTTGTCCTCTGGCTTTGCAGGCCCCACAGTTAAGCTCCTGTTTATCCCTTTACAAGAACTGGGTCTTTATTGCCCCACATAATGGAATTACCTACGTCCATGAAGGAGGATTTGTCCACCTGGGCTCCTCCCGGTTCCAGAAAACCCCCTCCCCTCCTCCTCTGGGCTGGAGACCTGCCCACTGGGGGAGGTTCTCTCTGGGCTCCTGAAGGGGTGGGGGGTCGGGGGGAGGAGAGAGGCAGGGGCGGCAGCGCTTGGAGACCCTGGGCTGTGGCTGCATCACCCCCTCTCTGTCTTCACTCGGTCTCCCCTGTGTCCAAACTTCCCCTTCTGATAGGGACACCCGTCTCTGGGTCAGGGGTCAGGGTCCAGCCAGAGCCAGGACGACCTCGTCTTAACTTAGTGACGTCTGCAAAGGCAGATGTGACATTGCCTTTATCTTTTCTCCCCTGTACTTTTATTGATTTCAGAGAAAAGGGAGAGGGAGGGAGAGAGGGAGAGAAACATCAATGATGAGAGAGAATCGTTGGTTGGCTGCCTCCTGCACGCCCCCCTCTGGGGATGGAACTCTGCAAAGGCCGTATTGCCTTTATCTTTTCTCCCCTATACTTTTATTGATTTCAGAGAAAAAGGAGAGAGAGGGAGAGAGGGAGAGAAACATCAATGATGAGAGGGAATCATTGATTGGCTGCCTCCTGCACGCCCCACACTGAGGATCGAGCCCACAACCCGGGCATGTGCCCTGACTGGGAATCGAACCATGACCTCCTGGTTCATAGATCGACGCTCAACCACTGAGCCACACCAGCCTATTTCCAAATCAGATCCCACCCCTAGGGATTGGGGGTTCGGACTTCAACGTGACTTTCTGGAAGACACAGTTCAACCCACAACCGTCTCCTGTGAGTTACAAACAAGAGCGAGAAGAGAGTTAAAAGACAAATGCTTCTCTTGCCCAGGGCACATGCCCGGGTTGTGGGCTCGATCCTCAGTGTGGGGCGTGCAGGAGGCAGCCAATCAATGATTCCCTCTCATCATTGATGTTTCTCTCTCTTTCTCCCTCTCCCTTCCTCTCTCTGAAATCAATAAAAACATATTTTTTCAAAAATAAGAGCCCTAGCCGGTTTGACTCAGTGGATAGAGCCTCAGCTGCGGCCTGAGGGGTCCTGGGTTCGATTCTGGTCAGGGCACATGCCTGGGTGGCAGGCTCGATCCCCAGTGGGGGGCATGCAGGAGGCAGCCAATCAATGATTCCCTCTCATCATTGATGTTTCTCTCTCTCTCCCTTTTCCTTCCTCTCTGAAATCAATAAAAATATAAAAACAAAGCAAAAAAAAAATAAAAGAAATAAAGTGGTTTTTAATCCGTCAAAACGAAACAAAAAAAATAAAAGAAATAAAGTGGTTTTTAATCCGTCACAAAAAGTGAGTTCAGGTTCCCTCTCCCACTCCCTCAGGATCTGCTCTCTGACCTGTGCCCCTCTCTCGTTGGAGAGAAATAACAGCTGGGGGTGCCCTTGACTGCCAAGCCCTCGGTCAGTGATTCGCACCTTTTTCCGGGATGTACTGGAAAGAATGAGGGCCTCAGAGTCAGAGGCCCTGGATTCAAATCCTGGCTCCACGGGACAGCTGTGTGACCTTGGGCAAGTTACCTAACCTCTCTGAACTCAGGGGCCGGCTCCTATAAAACCTGAACAACCTCAATGACCTCGCAGGGCGGTGGTAAGGCTCAGCCCTCGGGCGGAACGTAAGATGCTCCGCATGCAGCAGGCGCTCAATAGATGCTGCCTCTCCCGCCTACAGCCGCCACCCCAGCCCCGAGAGGCAGCGGCATAGATCTAGCCGCAGAGCCGAGCACTTTACTTTTTGGGGGGATTCAGCAGTTTTCCTTCGACAAGCGCCTCTGCATAAAGCACACCAGTGGCTCGGCTTTAAATAGTGCAGATGGCAGCTGTCTGATTTAACAAGTTCAGCCCGTTCGACACAGAACTGTCGGCGTGACTATTATTACACTGGACTGAGCACATGGGCAGCTTTCTATTTTCAAATACAGTGTGATTAGGCTCCATCTCAGAGAAGCTTTAAAAAAAAAAAAAAGAATAAAAGTCGATGCCGTGAGACCTGGGCGGGCCCTTCCCCTGCCGGAGGAGCCCTGTCCTTCCTCCGGGAACCGCAGGCCTGGGTGGGCCCTCGCTCCCATAAAGGTGCCCCCGGGGCCCAAATCAGACTGAGAGACGGCGGCCCACACACAGCCCGGGCTGGGGTGTGAGGGGGAACGCTGGCGATCTGCTGGCCCTTGCTGAGGGGGCCACCCCGCCCTGCCCCACGGGGAGAGGGCTAGCAGGTGCCCCACCCTCGCTGGGCCCAAACCCTGCCCATTGCCCTCCGTGGGGCACAGGAGAGAGCTCGCCCAAACCCCAGGAGCTCTGAGCTGGATGGGGCCTCAGGAACCTGCAGGCCCCGCTGCCCCTTCTTTGAGGAGGGAACTGGCCCCAGAAGGCGGAAGCCAGCCCCGCTGGGCCCTGCTTGCTCCGTCCACTGCAGCTGCACAACAGTTCTGTGTTCTCGGCGCGCGAGGCCTGGCCTGCACACCTACCAAGCACCAGAAATCCCCCCACGAGGATCCCTTCTTACTTGGAAAGTAAAGAAAGCCAAGCCAGGCTCTGGCCAGCCCGCGAGGCAATCAGCGAGCCAGCTGGCCTTCCCCTGGCCCCGGAGGAGCTGGCGCCCAGGACGCCCGGGGAAGGAGGGCTCATCTCCAGCTCCTCCCATGATGTGTGAGGCTTACATTCAATTAACGGGGGATCGATTTTTGCACAGCTGGCCACCGTGCTTGCTGGGAGTTATTTTATTATGAAACTGAGCGCTTTCCTTTAAAAACACGGAGACTCCCGCACCAGGTGCCCGCAGACACAGGGAACGCCCCCCCTGCGTTTTCACTGCTCCCTTCTCGGCCCATCTTCACCCGCATCCAGAGCCCCTGGTGCTGTGGGGGCTCCGAACAGATGACCACGGGCCTGCCAGCCCCTCCCCCAGCAAGAACCCAGATGACTCCTCTGTCCGCACCAGGAAATATACATACACACATGCCTACATGTGCCAGATAGATAGATAAATAGATGATAGACAGGTAATAGATAGTTGATAGATAATAGATGATAAATAATAGATGACTGATAAATGATAGATAGATAGATAGATGATAGATAATAAATGATAGATGATAAATGATAGATAAGTGATGGATTATAGACGATAAATAACAGACAGATAGATGATAGATGATAGATATTAGATAGATGATAGATATCTTCCCACTTTTGATGGGAACAGAGCTGGAGTTGGGCTGGGGGTGTTTAGAAGCATTTTTGAATTTTTAAATAAAGCTTCTTTTCAGAACAAAATTTTTTTGGGGAAAACGCCTGATCTCATTCCCCTCAGACAGGAATTCTGACATGTTCACTTTCTGCCGTCTTTTCTGCGTGTTTTATTTTTATTCAGTTTTACACACTATGTGACCCAACCCTGTAATTACTAGGTACGTAACTGCTTTCTTCACATTGTCCCTTACCGTTAAAATCCCCGCATCTCTGCCCTGGCCGGTGGCTCAGCGGGTTGGAGCATCGTCCCCGTACACCAAAAGGTTGAGGGTTCAGTTCCCAGTCAGGGCACATACGTAGGTTGCAGGTTTGATCCCCGGACGGGCACTTACAGAGGCAACCGATCGATGTTTCTCTCTCACATCAATGTTTCTCTCTCTCTCCCTTCCCCTCTCTCTACCGTAATATCAGCAAAAACATGTCCTCTGGTGAGGAATAAAAAAGGAAAAAACCCCTGCATTTCCCCATCAACACGCTTGTCTGCGGATGGCTGCCCACGCCACTGAGCGGAGGTGCCGTCCGTCCGTGTCTAACCGCCTCCTCACCGCGGGCACTGAGATCGCGGCTCAAACTTCCTAACTCTATTGAAAAGGCCACAGTGAGCACCAGGGAAAGAACTGGCCCTGAAGCCAAGAGTCTTCCTAAGACGGAGTCCGGGATGAACTGCCAGGTCAGGGTGTGCCCGTGTGCCCGATTCTGCGCCCACAGCAGCGGGCGCCCGGGTTGAGGCGCCCAGGATCCCAGAGGCAGCCCAGCAACAACGGGGGGAGGAGGGAGCAAGCCCGGGACACGCCCGCTGTCTCTCTCCGGAGCCAGAGCAACTGTTCCTGAAACCATGGCTGTGCCGGTGGGCTCCACGGGCTCTGTTGGTCATGATGGATGGTCGCTCTTTCCCGGACTGGAGCTGGGAGGTGGTGAGTGCTGTGCTCCCCGCCCCCGAGGAGAGGGAGGGCAGGGAGGGAGGGGCAGGCCAGCCAGGAAGAAACCCAGAGACACACTGAATGTGCCTCTACACAAACTTCTAAGATTCTGGCGGGCCTGTTAGCCTGGCTCAGTGATTGAGCGTCGACCTATGAACCAGGAGGAGGCCTGTCAGCGTGGCTCAGTGGTTGAGCGTCAACCTATGAACCAGGAGGTCACGGTTCGATTCCTGGTCAGGCACAGGCCCACGTTGCAGGCTCGATCCCTGTAGGGGGGCGAGCAGGAGGCAGCCGACGGATCGTTGCCAGCTACATCCCTGTAGGGGGGCGAGCAGGAGGCAGCCGACGGATGGTTCTCTCTCATCACTGATGTTTCTGTCCCCCTCCCCCCCCCCGCCTCTCTCTTCGGAAATGCCTGGGACTTTGGCGTTTGCATCACACACGTTGGCCGAGACAGAGCTTTGCTGCAAATTGTCTCCAAGTGTGGATTTCAAACACAGTGTTTAGCAGGAACACACTGTCAGCAGATCACACTGGCTCAGGGGTAGCCTTTCCCAAGGGTGTCGCAGGGCAGGTGACTCTCCAGCAGTGAGAACGCACAGCGAACCCACCCCAAGGGACCCCAGGGTCCGAAAGGTCGGGCGCAGCTCATCTCCCGGGGGTGGCGGGGCCCAGCGCCTCCCCAACAGCCCCGCCCGGGAGAGGGAGGGCAGGACTCCCAGTCGTGATGTTTCTCTTTCTTTCTCTCTCTCTCTCTCTCTGTCTCTCTCTCTCTCTCTCTCTCTCTCTCTCCCCCTTCCCCTCTGAAATCAATAAAACAACACTTAAAAAAAGATAAAACGGACCGATCTCCAAACTGCCACGCGGAGGGAAAAGCGCAGGTGGGACGCCGCCTGTGGGACCTGCCCCCGCGCCCTGTGACGGAGAAGGCGTGGGTGTTGGAAACGCAGGTGTGACGCACTGAGAAGGCTCGGAAGCCTTGCTCCAAGGCCAGGAAAGGGCCCTGCAGCTTCCACCTCAGATGTTTTATTAAAAAGGAGGAAAGACGGGCCACCAATGTGACAGTGTTAACGCTGTCGAACCCGGGGACGCAGAAGGCGCTCGGGGTTGCATGACCGCGGGGCTCCCTGTATTCTTACCGTTTCCCCCTGCTGAGCTCTAGGAGTGGGTTTTGAGCCTGCACACCTGGGCCCACCCTCCCCCACTCCGTGCCCCCCCCCCTGTCCAGGGAGTGCCCGTGCCCGTGCCCGGGAGCGCGGTGCAGCTCGCTGCTGTTCTCCAGCCTGGCCAGCGTGTCCATGCGCTTCACCACCAGCTCCAGCAGGTCGCTCATCTTGCGGAGGGCACCGCGGGACTCCAGCCCGCCCGTCACTGCGGGCAGAGGGTGGTCAGTCAGTGGAGGCCGCCTGGTCTCCGGGCCGGGGTGGCTCAGACCCCAGCCCCCCTCCTGTCTCCCCAGGAAGAGGAGGGGTCAGGGAAGGGAGCCTGCCGCGCCCGTCACCTGCAGGGCTGGAGCCCTCCCTGCTGTGTGGCACTGGGAAAATCTCTAACCTCTCTGGGCCTCAGTTTGGCCTCAGCAGAATCGAGCTGTAGACGTAACCTCAGGCCCAGTAGTGGGACAGGAACCTCCAAGGCCCCCGACGGCCAGCTCCGGACAGAACTTCTGGATCCGGCCTCCATGCGCCCCACACCTGAACCTCCTGGCCAGACCTGGAGCCCATGTTCCCGGCCCTGGTCCTGACCTGCCATCGAATCTCCAGGACGTGGGGCCCAGGACCTGCGTGTCCCTGTCCCTTGCTGCCCGCGTGCCTCAGATGCACAGGAGAGGTTGCAAGCCCGGGTTCGAGGGCTTCAGGGTCCTGTTCTCCTGCCGGCCTCGGCCGACCAAATCCCTCCCCGACCCCTGCTCCCTGAACCCCTGTAGAAACCATTGAGAATGAGTCCTGACTCTCAGGCTGGTCTCCAGGTTCCCAAAGACCAAGTCCAAGGCCGAGGGGCAGGGGAGGCCGTGCGAAGAATAAAGTGAATGAAAACGAGGTGCTTCAGCCAAGATCGCAGCGACCAGCCGGAGATTCTCCGCACTTCCTTTCTAATCACCCCCGTCGCCAGCGCCACACGGCCCGGCCTGTGGGAGCGCAGTCCTCGCCTCCTTTCCAATGAAATCTCGCGAAGGTTTGAAACCGCCCCTCCACGCGGCCCACAGGCGCCCATTCCGGGCACGGCTCCCAGCTCGGCTCCCTGCGGCCCCACGGACCCAGCTCTGAATCTCTCGGACCCAGCTCTGAATCTCACGAGACAAATGAGCTGTCAGTGGACTCCCCGAAGCTTCTGGGGTTTCCGGGGAAGGGTGGGGGTACCTCAGGCTGGGGTCCTCAGAAGGAGACCCCAAAACAAAGGTCATTTATTTGGGGGTGAAGGAAACCCGGTTGGGGAGTGGGGAGGTGACACAGGGCAGGGGAGACGGCCCAGAGAGGGTGTGTCACCACGCCGGGTGAACTAGCAGGTGTAGACCCCGGCTCAGAGCTCCCCCTGGCAGGCGAGGGAGCTGGGCCACGTGCACCCCATCTCCACCGGTCACCGCTCCAGGGCTGCTCCAGGACAGCCATGTTCTGGGCCTTTCCAGCAGGAAAGGCCCCAAGAGCCGCAGGGCCGCCCACGGGAGGTGGAGGGGCGTGAGCACTAACAGTATCTGCTTCTCAGGAAGAGCGTGGCCCAGCAGGCCTGGAGAAGCCGGGAGGCCTTGGGGTCGGAACGGCCCCTCCGAGGAGGGATTAAGCCAGTTCTTAAACATGCCAACAGCGGGAAGACTGGGGACTGTGGGTGAGCGAGGAGACAGGCCCCCTCTCCTGCCGCTGGGTCCGCCAGGCCACCTCCATCGACGGGACCAAGACCCAAGACCCCTCCCCAGCTGCTGGGGCCCAGGGGCC